ATCTCGGAAACTCTCTTTTCAAACTTGGCTTAAACAGTTCTAGATCTTTGTTATACTGATTATGACAAGCAACTTCCCTTTTTTTCTATCTGCTACCAGCACCATGTCTCCTGAGTTCCTGTTCAGCACCAGGGTCTCTGCAGCCATCTTATAGTGAACAGGCACAAGTCTGCCTTCTTAAGTGTCGCAGGCAATACCCTCTCACCCTTGAGGGCTTCTTGTTGCAGTAGAAAGCATCGTGTGGTGCACAACTTTTCTGATAAATGACCTGTAGATTGGTGGCTTCTCCAGCCTGTACATGTGGAGCTTGAGGCAAACTGTACAGCTCTCCTTTAACCCATGGCTGAGTTTCTTACTCTGAAATAAACGCAAATACCCTTGTAACACTAGTCTTTTAATTCCACACTGGTCAAATTTTGTGTGTCTAGGTCGGGGAGTGAGAGTTCACATCCAGTCTTGTATAGTGTTTGTGGGGTCCTTAGAGTATTTACTGAGCCTCTTTCCACTGGAGCCTGAGGTTGTTGAATCATATTTATGTGGCCCTTGTTCTGGAAATTGGAGATAACTGTTTCTAACACCTGTGTGGGCCTTGAATCAACAATTATTCTTTGTCTCCCCTAATTTCTTAGAAACTAGACTTCCAAGCCAGTAAAGTACTTAATTGGGTGAGTTGCCATACTATAGTATGCTTAGTATACTTACTATAGTATGCTTAGTATACTTACTATAGTCTGCACGACAGGTGCTATGAGTGTAGCAAAGTGTCTTTTCCACAATCCTATGAGGTTCCCTGAGTTAACTGTTAGTTACTTTATTCTGTGTTTATGCACACGAAGAAATGTAAACCTTCACATTGTATAAATGAGGTTTTCACTGTCTGAAATAATCACTGCAGGCAGCAGAAGATAAATCTGAGAACATCACCAGTGATTCTCAAGGACTTACTGGTCCTTTATCCTTCCTTTTTCTGAAAGGAAAAAATAGCATCCAGTCTTTGGGTACAAAGTCCTCTGTATACATTGTGACAGGACTAACTGAAGTTCTAAGTCTGTGCTGTTCTGCTGAGCATTCACTTTCAAGATACTTCCCTGAAGAAGTTTGGGTGTAGTTACAGGGCCCAGTAATCTATGTGGTGTGGATCTCTTGCCTTGCCCTGAATTTATAGAAAGAATTTCTAAGTACCTTCCCTTAACAGGCTGGGAAATCATCATGTTGGCTCACAGCTTTTTGTTTCATTCCTTCATGTTGTGCCACATGCTGGCTCTGCTACATGATTTGCTCTGATTATCTCCCTGTACAGAATGGAAACTTCATGCCATGAAATACACTACTCCCTCAGAACAGCATAGGTATTCTTTAAATGGAGCTTGCCTGTCTCATGCACAGAGAGGAGCTGCATTATTAATCAAAACATTCTGACTTTTCTTGGGCAAGAGTTGAACCTCAGAGTTGACTCAATACAATACAAGAATACATGCCATGAAGTCAAGAATTTAGAAGGAAGTGTTCCCCTTGGCTTTTCCTAGTAAGGAGTTCTGCCTTATGTGACCTGGGGTAGACCTGTTTCTTATAGTCATGTCTGTCCAGCCTCTCCATCATTCCTGTCAGGTAGCAGAGCAGTTTGCCGACTAAATGCAAAGGAGTCATGAAGTGAGATATCTCTATATGAAAGTATCTTTTTTTCCTATATTGGGAGACACGGTCATTTTGTAAGCAGTCAGTGAGTCAATCTTTACAAGACATACAGACCAAGATGTTCAAATGCGAGCACCTGAACGTGTAGGGGAGACCCTGGCATAAAAGTTCAGAGACCTTTTCCATAGTGCCAAGTGTCAGTCTTTCACTTGTTTGTTTCTAGGGAAAGTCACACCATGGATTTAAATTATTTCTGTCTAAGTATCCTCAGTGAGACTGGCTGTCAGAAGTGACCTTGTAAATGAGTTTGCAAGAGAATGAAAAGAATAGATCAGAGCAGAGAAAGACCTTGAAGTGAGAATCAGGAAACTGTCAATGGAATAATGGATGGTAAGGATCCTCCACAACCAGGCTCCCTCTGTCCCGAGTCGAGCTTTGATTAATGAACTAAGCAAAGAATGGAATTAACAGACATGAAAAAAAAATGTAAAATATCAGCATAGCATTACTTCACCACCTTAGGCCTAAGACAGAAAATACTCTGTGTCTTTGTGAGAATGACATGCAGAAGAGCCCCAGAAAAGCTAGTAGAAGAGGAGCAATGGTGGCGTCTTAAAAGAATTTAGCTGACAAGCTTGGAAGAGTTATGAATGTCATGAACCAACCATTTGTCAGAGATTTACAGTTTGGCCTAGGTTGGATAGTTTTCCACAGGGATGCTGAGAAGGACCCAAGTCTGGAGACTTCCTTCTTTTTAAGCTGTGGTTGAATGCCATTTTTAGTGGCCTCCATCAACATGAGGAGGAGTTCAGGCTTCTTAACAAGGTGAGCAACTAGCAGATTTTTTTTTTTTTCATGAGTAGATAGTTTTCCCTGTCTCATTATTTGAAATGTGTGGACTGTGTTGCTTGTGGGTTTTTGTTCAGTGCAGAGTGTCTTTTTAAACCAGCTTGATGGATGTGCCTAACAGGAGCGGCTCAAGTAATTTCAGTTTGGCAAACTTGCAAGCAACCACAACCAAGTTGTAGTGAAGAGCTTATGGAAATCTCATGTGTGAGTACCTCTTAGTATAGCATCCAAGTAGTTTGAGCTGTGATACAGATGAAGCGATGAACAGCCGTGTGACCGCATCCGGTACAGAACACGCTTGGGGAGTGCTAAGGAGGGAGTAAGGCTCTGCAGGTTCTTTCTGTCAAAACATCTCTCAGTAGATAACTGCTCCTCTAGCGTGTGCTGTGAATGCTACCACGTGTTAAATACCTCGTCATCTCTGAAGGCGTTCATCTCCCATAACATTAGATGTAGACAGGTACAAGGTACAGTGGAACCCTGGACTGCACTTCTGTGTTATGTGAAGCTGACATCAGACAGGCTTGCCTGCCTTGGTGAGAGAATGAGCAGCACTTTACAGATGCATAGCATCTTCTCTGTCATGTGGTGGTTTGCAGGAAGCTGCTCAGTCTGACAGTTGCAAACATGAAGGCAAGAGATGACCTGAGGAACAAAAGTACTGTAACAAAAAGCCATCAGTCAGCACTGTGTCAGTACACAGCTCCAGAGACTGTCCCTGGCCTGACCAGAAACTGTCAGGGAGCTTGAATGTTCTCAGGATTAAAAAAAAAAAAAAAAAAAAACAATGACGTTTTCTTCAGCAACTTCATCATGAAGTTATTTGTTCTTGTTGCTCAGACCTTTCATCCAGACATGGTTATTTTCATTAAGAGAAATCAACTTGGGAAAGGTTTTATCAGCACAGTTGGATCATCTCATGTAACGGTTTGACCAGTCCTTAGCAATCCTGTAATCCCATCAATGTCCAGTTTGGAGTATGTGTGGAGAGGTCACCATGCTTGTTCAATACTTCCTGAGCTCCTCTTCTTCATGGGGTCTGGCTTTGTCCTGTGATAACCTACATGGTATTTTCTCACATGAGCTTAACTATTTTAAAAAGACCAAGACCTTTGTAAAGGTGGCTTTGCCTGTGTGCCTCTCCCAAATGATTTCTCTCCCACCTCCCCACCTAACCTGACCTGACAAGAAAGAGTAAAGTATCTGTGGGCTCACAAGGAATGTGGTAGTGGCGTGTTTCCTACAGGAATGTGGGATAGTGGGTATGTGAAAGCCAGTGAAAATAGTGTGCTGAAAGCTTAGATGCTGCAGCAGATGTGGTGGCAATTGAAACATGGGAAAATACCAGCTTTAATGACATCAGTGCAAAGTTGCAGGCAGATGGCGCGAGATTACATGGAGGGGTGACTGCCAGGCCTTGCAGAGAGTGGAGAGGCTAAAATGGGGCCTTACACAGGGCTGAGCAAACAGAGCAAGAAACAACCAGACAAAGGGGTGAGAAGCATGATCAGGCCTGCCCTGAATGAAGAGTTCCAGAGGGCAGTGCTGCCTGACTGGGATCACTCACCAAGGCCCTAATTACTGAACAAGGGTGCAAAATCAGCAAAACTTGAGCCTGCAGGGGAGCAGGTGGGAGGGGGAAAGAACTAGGGTGGGTTGTTCATATGGCAGGGGGAAATGGGGGCAAAATAGCGGGGAAAGCAAAGCATATGGTTGGGGCTGTTTGAGGCCAGAGTGGGCATCAGATCTGATGCAGTCAGGAGCAGGACAGTAAATGTGCTGTGGCCATACAGGTGGGTTTGCCGTACTTCTGCAGCCAGGGAGATGGGATATCGCCACCTAACAACTTCCCTGATGATGTCCACAGCATCTCAGTTCATCTGAATCGCAAAAAAGGCCACCAAAGGATTCTCATTTGTGTCCACATCTGTCTGCATAGTCCTGCATACAAAAGGAATGGAGGAGGGAGGAATGTTATGAGGTGCTCCCTTCTCCCATCTCCTGAGGAGAGCTGCCTGCAGGCTCTTCCCCAAGCTGCTGCTGGCAGTGTCTTTGAATTCAAGGCAGTACATCTTCACAGACCCCACCACAGACTCTGCAGCACACCCAGGCATTCGGCTCAGACTGGGAGGTGATCCTTGCCAGGAGGAGCTCCACCATTTCCAAGCAGCAGGGACGTGTGGCACTGGACCTTGCCAGTGCACCTCAGTGCCATGGAAAGCCATCCTGACTCCAAACCCTGCATGAGGAAGCTGCCTGAGAAGTGAGGGAAAACTTTTGCATCAGGAATGACTCAGGGCTTTGGTATATTGCATTCTCAAATATTTATTTCAGTGTTCTTATAAATGTTTTATTTGAAGAAAAATATTGCAATTGGCCAATATTCCACAGAATCTAAATATTTTTCTCTAAGACAGTACTTCCTTCCCTGCTTGCAGAGATTTGATCCTTTGCTGATTATGCGATTCATGATGAGGCCTTCCCCCCCCACTCTGCTGTCTGTTTACATGTGACTAAGGCCTTAATCCAACTGCTGTCACAGCAACAGGGAGAAAAGACAGTTTATCTTTGGTTAATCCTGAAGCACAGCTTTTCATCTGACAGACTTTTCCACTGAGAACGAAGAAGACGGGAAGAGTGGTTTTTTAGTGCTGGAAGGGTGTCAGAGACACTGCGTAGCTCCTGCTGTGGAGAAGTGCCCTACCCTACACCCAGGGTTCTGCTGTGTGCTGGTTTTGTGGTCTAGAGATCTACCAGTCAGAGGGGGTACATGCCTGCACTGAGGATGCTGAGGGCCCCACCTCTGCAGGACTCCCATGAGAGCACAAGAGGGGCTGGCCCTGCTCTCCTGAGCCCATGGCAGAACTGAGGTCAGGCTGCTGGCTGTGCCTATTGGAACACAAGCTCCCAGGCATGCAGACAAGTGAAGAACGTCTTGCTTTTAGGAGTGCTGGTAACTGATAGGAACTGGATGTCTTTTGAGCAAGCGCTTCCCTGAAACAAGGAGAAAGATGCAGGTGCTGGAGGCCAGGCGATTCAGGGACAGGAGCAACAGCATGCAGCGTGTTGGTGCAAACTCTGCACAGCATGGAGAAGCACACTCAGCTGAGAGCCCACCACCCCAGCCCGCTGTGGAGCTGCAGCTAATGAATTTTGGATCAGCTGGAGGTCCCTGCTGCCACTGAGAGGTCATGGCCTTCACAGGGCCACCAGACTAGGCATGGTGTGTGGTTGTTAAGGCAACCTGGAGTATGGTGTCCTTAATTGCATGTGGTAGTTGGTGGGACTAGTTGCCTACTTTTTTTGCTTCCAGCAGGACCCAAAGTATAGGGCAGTGTTTGTTCTATGGTGCCTCCTAAGGGACCAGTCTGGAAGCACTCCCTGTATTTACACTGGGTGGATAGGAAAGTTAATAGCATGAGTATCTTAAAAATTTTTAGCGTTTTTTTGTAACATCACTTGGAGATTTTGATCCATTGTATGGTCTCAGTGAATGTTGCTGGTACCCTTCATCATTCTGCTACGTTCCCTTTACCGCTTTACTGTGTGTCCCTGGGGCCAGGAAACACATTAACAGGTACTGGGAGAAGAGAAAGAAGATAACAACAACCTTCTGATTCACAGGATGGCAAAGGCATGTATGTGTGAGAATGAAAGGTGCAGGTGGATCAGAAGAAGCTTCACTTTGGATAGCTGGTGGAGTGGGAACAAGAATGGGTGGCTGGCAGAGCACCTTCCCTGAGGGACCAGACACAGCGCCAGCAGCCTCCAAATGTGGGCACAACTCGTGAGAAATGTCAGAGGTTTTGTGAAAGGTTATTGTAAGATTTCTGCATGTGCCCTCGTACCCATGAGGAGAGAGAAGCAATTGTGTAGTGGCAGGCAATAGCTGTCAGTCAGTTTTGCTGTGAAACATGTCTGGTGTTCAAGAGGTATCTGGGGATGTCAAAATAGTAAAACTTCTCAAGAGAGCAAACTACAGCATTCAAAACTGTGAACGTAAAATCGCCAATGGCTTTTACAAGTAGAACTGGAAATATGCTTAGGAAAAGTCTATTGGCCTTGGAGGGTGCTGTGAGGCATCTGATGCTGGGAACGCTGGTGTTCCTGTATTGAGGTTTGTTGCTCCTCTCCCCAGAGGCAGAGAAACCCTTCTCACTCCTTTGCATTGGATGGAAGATGAATTCTAAAATTACTTCAAAGTCATGTCCACTAACTTCCTGCAAGGAGGTCTGTTGTAGTCTTCATTGCAGGTAACAGTCTCTCCCCTCACTAAGGCTCTCAGTACTGGATATTTCAAAGGTGATGGTGGCAGAGGCAGGAAGCCCGAGACTGCCGAGCACCACAAACAGGAGGCAGCTTCACTTCTGTCCCCATGGTATGGTGAAAAAGGATGGAGAAACAGTAACCTTCCAGGCAAAGCCTTTATTCTGGAAGAGAGTGAAGAGCCCCTGAGACACAGAAAATAACTAGCTCAAGAGCAGGAAATCCAGGGGGTCTGGCCAGGATGGGCTCCAAGCCCCCGCAGCATGGCCATGCTCAGGGCCACTGGATATGCTCTGCAGCCAATGTCCACGTCACTGGCTGAGCCAGAGGGCACACAGCTGGCTGCAGTGCTGTGGGGGCACTGGCAGCTGACTCTAGCCACACTTGGTGTGGGAGTGAAGAACTTGGGTGCTGGTCTGCATCTGAGTTGTTTGCAGCCCAGGTAAGTGGAGCAGGTGCAGAAGCACAGGATCTCCTTTTGGATTGTGTACAACAGTCAGCTGTACCGAGTCACAAGGCGTACAGCGCTGGTTTGCGACCTCCACGTGTGCTGGAGCTGTGGGTGACCCAGATTCAGTGGCTGAAGTTGGGACTTACAAGAATGACCTCCAGAAAAGCAAGGGGTGGGAAAGCACAACAGAGGAAGCGAGCAGAGCAACATGAGATGCTGGTGGGAGCATTTGCTGTGGGATAAGGACCTGTTCATACTGGCTTTTCAGTGGATGAATTAATCTTCCATCTCCAAAGTGAATTTAAGACCATGCGGTGTGCTAGCAATCTTTCTGTGTGTGGACAGAGGGCATTTTGATGCAACATAGCTTGGCCTGCCTGCAGCAGACTAGACATACCAACAAGAATTAAGAGTCCAGTGCAAGACTTGGCAGAGTCACAGCTGGGCAGGGAAGACTCCCAGCCAGGCAGCTGTTCGGTTCTTTCTTACATAAGCTGTCTAGACCAGACAGGAAGAAATGAAGCCAACCCTGGCATAAGACTGTGGCTCCCTGCACAGACGGTCTCCAACCTCCGGCTTTCATATTTGAGCTTGTGCAAAGCAACGGGGTGAACAGAAGGATGTTAGTAGTCAAGCCAGCTATGCATCAGAGAAAAGTCGATGAACAACCATAAAAATAATGAAAAATAACAGTAACTAGTGAGATTTATTACAACTAGGAAAACATTTGATGTTTTCTACACAGAAGGAACAGCATTGCCAAGAATTGTCTCCTCACAGTGGGCCCGTGGGACTCAGTGCAAGAAGACAAAGCACAGAGCTGTTGGAGAGGGGAAGGATGGTCCTGAGGGGGAGCAGTCCTAAAGTGTGTGCCTACTCGGAAATATTGCCCCAAGTTGTCTTAATTCCTTGTGACAGTCCGAGTGGAGAATCATGTGAATATAAGTAGAAAATATGATCAGAAAAGAGCCTGGTCTTGGAAACGATTCACATGGCGAATGAGATGGAAGGGCCTGTGACTGGAACAGGTGCTGAAGCAACCAGAGCTGTCACCAGAGAGCAGCAGAACAAGGCTCATGCTCTTGGTCTGGTAAGGACCATGATAGAGTCCTGGAGTCCAGGTCAGCCATGAACACCTGACAGGCTGGGGGAAGCCTGGAGATGTGACATGCAGCAAGCTTTGCACTGAGTGGCAGGATGTGACCCACTGGGTGCAGCACATACAACAGCCCTTTGTCAACATATGATTTGGCTTATTAGCAAATACCAAGACTGGTCTCTAATAGGCTTTCCGTAATGTTCCAGCTTCCATATTTCTTGGAGTAACGTGGCACTGGTGCCTGTGAGGCTGTTGCCATGCTGCCAGAGGCCCACGAGAGAGCAGCCACTGAGTGACAAGGCACAAGGGGCCCTGCCTGAATTTTGCACCTGCCCAGAGCCCCTCTGGGACTGTTCTCAGGAGCAGATTTGTCCCCAGCTCGCCAGTCCTGGAAGAGAGGCTGTGCCCCTTGCTGGGGCTGCCTGCAGCCTGCCTGCGAGAGTGGGCTGTGCAGAACCCCCAGGGTTCCTCTGGTCTTGGTGCTGCATCTTCCTTGGCACAGGTAGCTTTGCTGCTCTGGGACACGTGGTCTGTTTGCCTTGGCACCAGGCTGCAGAGAGGACCTGGGGAGTCCAGGGGCTTTGGCCACCTCTGCCCGGGACTGTTTGGCTTTGCTTGTGGCACAGCAGTGCCACTTTTGTGGCTCTCCTCTAGTCCCAGTGACCCATGAGGACCTTCCCCAAACCCATTGCTGCAAGAACCAGCATCCTGTTCTTGACACACAGCTTTTGAATGAAGCCAATTTTTAGGGCAGTCTGAAAAACTGATTCCTTAGCCCCTCCTCAGCACCCCGATGGCCAAAAACCCTAACTGACAGGCAAGGTTCTTGGAGATGCAGGTGGCTGCTGTGAGGTCTTCTGGGAAGCCCCTGGAAGAGCTGGCATGTTTGGGGGTGTCTGGAGCCTTGGTTTTAGGGATAAGTTACCAGGAGTTGCATCTCTCCTGAACCCCTGTCCTTTTTCCAAACCCTTCCTTTCTTGGCCACAGCAGATCTTGGCATTGTGATTTATGGGCTCTAGAGGTCCCAAAAAGGGAAAAAATAGCTCTGTTCACTCAGTGTGACAAAGATTGGAAAGGCAGGGGGGTGAAGGGTTGGGGAGGGACAGGTCACCTCTTAGGAATGTCCTGCCTGTGGAAATACTGAAGCTGCCTTCTTCCCTGTCACACGCAGCCAGGGCCTTGTGCAAGCTCCCAGAGCTGAGGCTCAGCTGGAGCCTCCCTCCGGTCTGAAAGCACTGAGGTCTTTCTCTCCAGCTCTAGGTGGGGCTTTTGAGATGACCAGCAGCTATGGTCTCCCTGGGCCCTGGTTTTCACAGCTGCTTTAGGTGCAAAGCACAGTGGGGCAAGACCCTGTGAGTAGTTGTGCCTCTGTACTTTGGGAGGGTTACAACTCCTTGGAGGAAAGGCAAGACCAGTGACACCTGGGGGTCTAGGCAAGCTGGAGGAGGAAGCTCTGCAGCCCAACAGCATTGGCTGTGTAGAGTCAGAAATGCCAACGTACAGCAGGAAAAGGAGGTTTCTGCACTTCCTCACAGGGTGGCAGCCCTGTTGGTGCTGGAGATGCTGACACCAAAGTTCTGACTATTCTCAAGCACTCCAGGTCCGCTGGGCCCACTGCCAGGGAGTAGGCTGTGACCTCAGGGGCCGTGTCTGGAGCAGATGCCAGCTCTGCTCCAACCTCTGCCTCCAAGCTCCCTCTGCTCGTCGTGGACACAATATCCTCCCTGCAGCAGTGTCCTACACTCTAGGGTTCTGTGCAGCACCGTGGTCCATCCCTGGGCTGCTGGGCTCCTGCAGTGCTGGGGACCGATGGTGTTTCCCTCTCCTCTCCTTTCTGGGGGTATAGGCAAGGGGGATTCATCGCCAAGACATCCCCAGAGAGGAGCAAGCAGGGTTGGAGGCAGTGCAGCAGGAGCAGATCCAGGCTCCAGTGGTGGATGTGGTGCTAGAGGACAGCCCAGGCAGAGGGATCCACACGGTCCGGCTGAGCCCTTCACGGGCTCCTTTAGCTGGGCAGGGAGCAGGCCAGGCTGTGCTTGCTTCACAGGATCCCCAGGGGACTCTGCGCAGGACAAGGGCCAAAGGTGAGCAGAGGGAAAAATCCAGGCAATGGATTCACTCATCTGGGGTTTAACTCTTGCTAGCCAAGGCCATGGCAGGGCAGGAGCTCAGTGCCCCAGGGCTGCAGTTCCCACAGCAAGACGTGAGCTGGACTAGGGTGGGCATAGTGCAGGCGAGGGGGTGTGCTGGCTGACATAGCACATGCATGTGCAGTGCAGGATCTTCTCTGCAAGAGCTTCTCACTCTTCCCAGAGAGCGTGTGTGTGCCCCACACAGGCTGAGCCCCCCACGCACTCACCAGCAGTTGCTCTGGTTTGCGGCATGGCACCAGAGCAGAGTCAGGCCCCTGGCACAGCAAGATGTGCGACGAGCACTGATGCTCAGCATGTCCCCACTCTGCAGCACACTGCAGCCGCCTGACCTTAGGCCAGGATGCCCTCAGCTCCACGGGCAGCCGTTTAGGCCAGGGTGCCCTCACCTCCATGGGAAGCATGAACAGACAGACTGGATCCTGGAGACGTGGACAAACCTGCCCATTCTCTTCCTGTGGGCAGATGGAGAGACGCGTCAGAGATCCAGCCCTGGAGAGCCACACCTGGGGCAAATTGCTTCTAGCTCGTAGAGAGGTGGTGTGCGCTTTCTGCATGCTGGTTCTCATACGTGCCAGCCAGGCATGACAACTGGAGTCCTCAGTGCCCACAACAGCACTGCTCCTCCTCAGGCAGTGTGACACCTCAGGAGTGGGACCTTCCCTGTCACACAGCTCCTTCCCGTCCCGATGATGCAGCAACCCTGGGCAGGCAGGAGGCTGCCCAGTGCCCGTGCCAGCAGCAGGATATGAGGAATCCATCACACATGATCCTGCCCTGGCTCCCAGCAGGACATGAGTCACACCTGAGAAATGGGGACATGTGCTTAGGCATGAGTGCCCTGTCCTAAGCAAATGGCACCATTCAGCAGTTCTGTGCAGAGGGATGGTCCCTATGGCTGGTCTGGCTGCAGCAGAACCACACTGCTGCCCTCTCCCACTTCCAGCTGTGCTGCTTGTCCTACAGCTTCACAGACACCCTCCCATGCATCCCCCCAGCTGTGAACCCTATCCTCAGCTTCCACCCATACCCCAGGGGAAGAGATGCGGGGCAGCCCTTCAACCATCCCTTGTCCTGCCACATCTTGGGGGTACACCCACCCCCAGGTCCTGACACCTCTCTGGGTGGGGACAGCCCCACACCCATCCCCAGGTCCTGACACCTCTTTGGGTGAGGACAGCCCCACATCTACCGCCAGGTCCTGCTGCTCTGGCCCGTCTTCCTGCCACTCTCAGCACTAAGCCAGGTATGTGGTGCTCAGGGACCTGCTGTCTGGGAAGATCTTTGCACATCTTTACACCCAGGGGTGCAATCCCCAGCAAGAAAAGGAGGAGGAGGAAGCACAGAGAGCCCTGCTGCTCCTGCAGCCCTGGAGAGCTGGAGGACCTTCTCCCTTGCCCAGGAGCTGGGCACCACCAGGGCCTTCTTGCCATGGGGTGCCCTGGGAAGTGTGTCAGTGCCTCAGAACTCAACCAGCATGATGTCACTGTTTATAACAGCACAGGTCTGTGGGACCTGCCCTGGTGTTGGCATGCAGAGGAGTGGCAGCATCAGGCTACATGTGTGCTTGCCACAGGCAAATGGCACAGTGCAGTGAAGCCAAGAGCTACTCTCCTCCTTCTCTCCCTCCTCTCAGAGCATGTCCAGCTGCTTTGTCAGCCAGGGGTGGGTGCCCTGCCCAAATATCCCCCTGGGGTGGCAGGTTCCCCCTCCCTGGCTTCCTCTGGGAGATGGGGCCAGTCAGGTCCAGCCAATTTGTGACCTTGGGAGTGGTCACAAAGTGTTGGGTGTGGGGAAAGCAGAAACAACACACGTCTGTGGGTGTCAGGTGTTCCCAAGGGAGGAAGGATGAGGCCAGAAAAGCTCCCGTGTGCTGCTGAAGCAGGCAGAAGGAGGGAGGGGAGAGGGGTCCCAGGACCCTCCTCTCCCCATTGCCAGGGCTCTGGCAGCCTGTGCAGCCCGCACGTCTGTGCTGCCAGACCAGTGCTGGCAGGGCAGCAGGGTAATGCCTGCCCCTGTACTGCTCTCTGCTGCTGTGCCCAGGGGAAAGGCCATGGGCTCAACAGAATCTGAATTCTCCTTGCCTAGCACTCAGCCACATCCCTAACTTGGTCTGCGACGTCCCACCCTTGAGTCAGGCAAGTGTCCCTGGCTCCAGGTCCAGACCAGTCCCAGACACATGCTGGCACAATAAAATTCCATCACTGGTATTTAACATTACATTTAGCATCCACAAAGGAAACCCAAAGGACTCCTGACCCTCCTCCCGTTGCTTCACTTATCCTCTGGCTGGGGGAGCCTGCAGGGCCCAGCCTCGCTGTGACCACCCAGGCCCCTGCTCCCTGCCCATCTGCTGGGCAATCTGCCCGCCTGCCCCGACACACCATAGCCGCCCTGTGGCTTCTGCACGCTGCTGAGATCACACTCTCACCTGCCTGCTGCTGATGTGCTGCGTAGCAGCCTATGGCCTTCCCTGCTCTCCCCAAAACCCTGTGCTCCTCAAGGGGTTTGTGTATCTCTCCTCACTCCAATTTCACAGGAATAACGAGGTCTGCTTCTTCAAGGCTGCACTGGCTGTACACAGGCACACCTCCCTGCCCTGGGGAGCCCTGGGGGGATGGATGCTGCATGGATCAGAGCAAGGCCATGGGCTCCCTGCTGTGCTGGCCCTTTGCAGTGTGTCTGTGAGGATGTAGCTTGGTCATTACCTGGGGGAATGAAACCAGGGGAGGGGTAGACCTGCGGGAGCAGAGGCAGGATAAATACTGCTGCATGTGCTGAGAGCTGTGTACCCAAGGCTGCTTTATCAGCATAGCTTAGTGTGTTTCTGCAGGTGGGTGCTCTGTGCAGGAAGCCAAGCATCAACGCTGCCAGCCACCCACCAGTATTTGGTGCTGTTGCCCCAGTGCTGCTGCTGGCAGAGGTGCTGGGGGACAGACCCGATGTGCTCCCACCAGCTCAACGTTGCCAGTGGGGTGTCCCACATACCCTGAAGACAGGACAGCTGCTGCCAGCAGTGCTGCCCAGCAGCTTGGATTTGGGTCTGTGTCCAAGTGTTTGATCTCCAGGCACATCCTCAGACAAGGGACTGTAGTGAGCAGAGCTGCAGGCGGAGACCCCTGCATGACACACATGGCAGCCCAACAACGCAAGGCTCATCCAGCAAGTGAAGAATATGTTGCTTCTGAGGATAGCAGAGGGATAGGAAGGGTATGCTTGGTGGCACAGTGTTTAGAGGGGTTGGCTTTAGCACAGTTGCTTGGGAAGGGACCATCATGCTCCAGCAGAGCCCGATGGTGCTCAGGGCCAGAGAGCAGTGAGCTGCCAGGGAACCAAGGGGCTCTGGGATGCCAACCTAGCTGGAGACCCACACTGTCGAACCAACAGTGCTCCCAGCACGGAGACTGCTGGACCCTCTAGGCACCTCCACCACACCCCATTTTTCTGGCCTGCAGCTCCGCTCAATCCCACACACCTCCCCAGAAAGCTGGGAGCTCCTAGGGGCGCGGTGAGTCCTTTGGTCTCTGGGCTGCCAGAACCGGCGGGGGTGCAACACCTCTGCCCCTTGCCTGAGAGCTGGAAGCAGGTGGAAGCTGCCTGCTCTGTAGAGCCCACAGCACCTCCGGGCAAGTGCAGGAGTGGGCCAGGCTTGCTCTGCTATAGGGAGTATTCTAGCCTTTGCCAGAAACAAGATTGAGCCTCACCAAGTCTGTCATTTGCTGATCAGGGCTGCAGCCTTGCAGGGGGGGAGTTTGGCATCTCCACGGGATTCTCCCTCCACCCCTCCACCTGGGCTTGGCCATACTCCTGGCACTTCCATCTGGGATGGGACAGGAGCCTGGGGGAATATATACCTCCCTAAACCCCTATATCCCCCATTGCTTCCCCTCCGACTGGGAAAGGGGGCCCACTGCGAGTGGCACAAGAGTATTTATACTCTGTTCTGGGACAGCAGAAGTCAGATTGAGAGAGCTACGGGCAAAGGCAGGCAGGGCTGAGGACACCACAACGGCTCCTGGCTGCAAGTGAGCCCTGGGACTGTGTGGGGCAACACACCCCTGTCCCCAGGAAGCCCCTGCAGGGTGGGGGCCTCTGGCAGTACCCTGGGCATTAATCCTGGGGAGGTGTCAGTAAGAGGCTGAAACGAGCCCCAGCGAGCGTGCGGGGCTGCCTCCCACGGGGGGACGGCGGGGAGGACAACTCTCCACCCCGCACGCCGGGGGTGCAGGAGCTTCTCTTGCGGGCCGGAGCAGTACCCGGCCCGAGCAGGCACAG